CTAACAACTATACTACATGTAGGATTTTTATCTTCTCTACTAAACTAAATGGTCACTATTGACATATCTTTAATACTTTTTGAGTCATCCATGTAGATTTTTTAAAATTTATGTATTGGTGCATATTAATCATATAGACTCATGGGTTTCATTGTGGCATATACATACATGCACATAGCATAAATTTGGTCAATATTTCTCTCCAGTACCTCCCCATACTTCCTCCTCACTCACCCTGCTCACCTTCCTTTACCCTGGTGGTTTCCCTTCCATTTTCTTTCTTTCTTTTTAAATTGGTGCTTGGTTATCTGAACCCAGGGCCCAGAGCCTCATGCATGCCAGGCAAGCACTTTACCATTGAGCCACATCCCCAGCCCCTTCCCCTCCATTTTCATTACATCCTTTTCTTCTTTTCCCTCTAACTTCCACATGTGAAAGAAAACATACTTGTCTTTCTGAGACTTGCTTAATTTGCTTACCATGATACTCTCCAGTTCCATCCATTTACCAGAAAATGTCATATTTCTTTCTTCTTCATGGCTGAGTAAACCCCCGTTGTGCATATATACCGTAGGGAACTAGGCAAGCTATAACCAAGTGTATGTACTAGGCTCTATGCTTGCTATCTTTGCCCAAGAGTATACAGAATGTATTTTATGAAAGGTATGAATAAAAGTCCTAAATAGAGATTACAGGTAATCTGTTTAACTCGTAGCAGAACTATTGCCTCTCACTGCAAAAACCGATTTTCTTTTCCATATGGCATACTGTATAGATGGGGCTTTTGTTTCTATAATTTGCTTTTTCTTATAAGACAGTGAATTAAAAACCTTATTTCCTAAAACAGCATCATGTTCATGTTTTGAGACAGAATAATCCCTTCCTTCTAAATATCACTCTCAATTTATCAAATATTACAGCAAAAATAGGAAAAATTAAAAGTAATTTCAAATTTAAGGGTGTTGGCATAACTAGGCCTAAAAACTGACAATGATATCATAGTTGTTTCAGTGGTGGATGTAAGAACAGATCAATATACCTCATCTCATATACCATGTCACTATGGAGTTCTCACGGGAGTCAAGAGTTACTACAGGGAACTCAAGGTATCCAATCTGTATTTCTTTTCTCTGCAATCTAATTTGCTAAAGAAAATGTCCATGAATTATACTGGTTAAAAATAGTTCACAGAGGGCTGGGGATATAGCTCAGTTGATAGAGTGCTTGCCTTGTATGCCCAAAGCCCTGGCCATGCCAGGCCCACCGCCACCCCAAAGGCTCCAATTCCCCAGCAGCAGCTTCAGCTGGGACAGACAAGATTGAGCCAGGAGACCAGGCAGCCAGCACAGTCAGGATCCTGCCAGGTTGCAGGCAAAAAGCCAAAAAATAGTTCATAGGGTAGACTATTGTACATAGAAGTTTTCTTCTTGGAAACATTTTATAATCATTGATCCATATAGCAACTTTTTGATACAGGACTGAGTAATCATATTATTTCTACCTTATTTTCTGGATAAACACATGTCTTCCATAGAGCTATATAACCAATTAGAGATGGCTAGAGAAGGATGGCAAACCACAACCTACTGGGCAAAATGTGGCCTGCTGCCTATTTTTGTAAATGAAGTTTTAGGGCAATACCTCACTCAGTTAAGTATTGTTTATGGCTATTTACATGCTGCAAAGACAGAGGTAAACAGATGTCACAGAGAACTGTGGAAGACAAAGCTGAAAATATTTACTATCTTGTTCTTTAAGAAAAAGTTTTCCAATCACTGCTAGAGAATGAAAACACAGTGGGTCAACCATTTATCATACTACCTCTCCAAATATTTCATGTCTCAGGAATAGAGAATCTGATATAAGGAACATGTTGTCAAGAGAATACAGAGTTAGAAACAAAAAATAAAACGAGGTTTGTTTCCGGTTGTGCCATTTCCTATGTGGCCCTGGGAAAGTCCCCTAACTTTTCTGCATCTTACTTTCTACACCTGTAAAATAAGGGATTTGGGCTATATGAAGACTAATCATCCTTGCAACTCAACTATTACAGTCTATACAACTTATTTTATGGATTAGGAAGCAATAGTGAAGGCATAAAAATTCTTAAAATTGTATTTTTAAAAAAATTCTCCTTATAGACACAAAAGCAGTGAAATTCCTAAAATATCATATTCATCACATCCACCTTAAAAGTAAATATTATCCTGATTCTATAAGTGAGGAAACTAATGTTCCAGAAAGGACAGTGCCTTATACAGTGGTTATCAGCATGGCTTAATATTTCATTGTCTAGTATATCATTGACAATATGCCATGAACTATAATTCCTACAGAGAAAGGCAGATAATGTAAATGCTGGATAGTTTTGTTGTGAACAAAAACTATATGTCCTATTTAAAGGGAGAAACCACTACCAAGTTAGATTTCACTGTTGACAGATAGGCATGTGGATCCAGGATTGTCATCTTTAGGTTTTATGACAGATCAGATATCACAAATTTTCCAACTTTTATGTATTCATTTGCAGAGCTGGGGATCAAACCCAGGGCCTCATGCATGCTAGTGCTCTACCACTGAGCTATATCCCCAGTCCCAATATTCCAATTTTTAAATGAATCAAATGTTAAAAGACAGTGAGCTGAATTTATCTCATGGGATGAAGATTTGCAAATCTGTATTATCTTCTTAAAATTCACAGATTAGTGATTAGAATACACTGATAATTCGGGGCTGGGGCTGTAGCTCAGTGGTAGAGTTCCTCCTTGCACCTGTGAAGCACTGGGTTTGATCTTCAGCACCATATAAAAATAAATATATAAAGATATTGTGTCCATCTACAACTAAAAAAATATTTAAAAAGAATACACTGATATTTCAACTTCAGGATAAACTCTTAATTAACCAAAGTAATAGAAGATAGGGAAAGATCACAGCATTAGTATTATCTCATTTTTTTCCACTGACTATTCTGTTAAGAAGTGCTGATAATAAGGGCTGGGGTTGAAGCTTAGTGGTAGAGCACTTGCCTCTCAAGCATGAGGCCCTGGGTTCGATCCTCAGCACCACATAAAAATAAATAAAAATAAAGATATTGTGACCATCTACAACTAGAAAAAAATTTTTTTTAAAAAAGAAGTGCTGATAATAAAATCAAATGGGGCTGGCATGTGTGAGGCACTTGAGTTCAATACTCAGCACCACATAAAAATAAAGAAGGTATTGCGTTCATTTAAAAATAAATAAATTAAATAAAATGAGTGAGGGCTGGGGTTATGGCTCAGTGGTAGAGCACTTGCCTCACATGTGTGAGGCACTGGGTTCGATCCTCAGCACCACATAAAAATAAATAAATAAAATAAAAATATTGTGAAAAAAATTAAATGAGTGAAAAACTTATTTCTAATTCAGGTTCTTTTTTTTTTTGGTACTGGGGATTGAACTCGAACTCAGGGGGCACTCAATCATTGAGCCACATCCCAGCCCTATTTTGTATTTTATTTAGAGACAGGGTCTCACTGAGTTGCTTAGCACCTCGCTTTTGCTGAGGCTGGCTTTGAACTCATGATCCTCCTGCCTCAGCCTCCCAACTTGCTGGGTGTGCACCACAGTGCGCGGCCCTCTATTTCATGTTCTTTGATGGAAGCCTTGACAAATAGGCAAAGCATAAATATGTCAAAGAATGAAGATAAATCCTGGATAAACATTAAAACCAAAAAATCTGTTCTTAAGTACTGGAGATTGGCTACATTCACATGATGGGAAATCCAAATCATGATTAATTCACATTGAGGCTTTTAAAATAATGGGGATGGATAGGAGTTATTGATTTTAACTTTTAAAGGTAAGATGTGACAATTAAGTAAAGACATTTATGCTTTTAGCTTTTACTTACAGAAGGTCACTTGAAAATACTGTCCATGTTTTGACAAACAAATTAAGCTATATTTAAAGTAAAGCTCTGATCTACTGGTGGTTACCAAGGGAATCAATAAAATGCTTTACTCTTCCATTCAAAAAATTCATAGGATTGGCAGCATTAGTTGTCTTTTTGAAGCAGACATGAAAGAGGGAATGAGAAAAATGAGGAGAAAAAAAATAAAGATTATTTCTTGGGACTATTTTTCACTTTAATAAAGTAACTGCACCACTAATTATTCCTCCTCAAGGTGCTATAATTTTAAATCTGATTTAGTAAGCTAATTATTATTTAAAAGATTAAATAAATCCTTAATGTAGTACTGGGAAAAGAACTTGGGGTAAAATGAACTGTCCTCATTGGCTTCAATTTCAATATTGAAAGCTTTCTTCCCACTTGGGAAATTATTTCCAAAATAAAAATGAAATTTTAAATCAGATCAGATTAAGATAGTTGTCTTAATTTCATGGAATAACTAATAGCAATGCTGTTAGAATGTTATTGTAACATATTCAAAACTAAGGACCCCCAGTAACACACAACTTTGCAGGTTACTTTCTCTTATGCCTTTCTTCAGATTAGAAGTAGTTCTCCAATATACCTGTACCTTAGAAACATTTTATGTCATAGCTTCAGATTGTATAAAGAGAATAAGCAGTCCACCTATATTTATATTTACCTGAGTTCTTTACTTTCACTGTATTTACTTAAAATGACAGGAATGCATATTAAGTGATAAAGTATTGATAAAGGTTGGATAAATGGCTCATTTTAGAGTTTCTTTATCTCTGAAATGATACCATTAGAGCTGGGGAAATAGCTCAGTTGGTAGAGTACTTGCCTCAAATGCATGCACAAGGCCCTGGATTCAATACCCACACCACAAAAACAAAAAACAATTAAAAAAAACATGGCAATTACTGTGTTGCATACCTTAAATTTTTTTTAAATAAAATGATACCATTGTTATGGAAATTAAATAAAATTAAGTAAAGTACATGGAAACAGTTCTTGACCCATAGCAAGTGTGCAATAAATGTTAGCTTTTACTATTGTTATACAATAGAATGGTTATACTCACTCTTTTGTTGAGACAAATAACAGGCCACAGGCTGCAACCCAGTGTGCAACAGCAGCAGAGACATCCACAGAGCAGCCACTTCACATTGACTGGGAGAGCCTTTTTCAAACATGAATTCACACGGCCAATGCTGGTCTTAAATTCTTCTGGGGCCACCTACAACAAGGGCACTATCTTTAACAATTTGTGGGCAGCTTCCCACTATTCGTCTCTAAACATAAGGAAAATGTCTTATTACAAACATTTTAAGGAATTAACAATGTCGAAATATACTTTTTTCCCATCTCTTCCCATAAATATGTATCACATGGTCTTGGGAGACATCGGAAAGTAAAATAATATAATTTTATGCTCCCAGATCTTAACCTGATGTTTTAAAAAAATCTTTTGAAATGACCTACAATAAAATGACAGCAGCAAAACTGATGGTAAAAGATACCCACCAACCAGTTTTGTTACCAAATATTCTCATTATTAAGGCAATATTGTTTATAGTCTTCAGGTACTCTGACTTAAAGTATTCTGAATTCAGACTGGAAGCATAAGACAATAATAATAATAAAAAAAACAAATACTACCAGAGGAAACAGAATTCAAGTTAGAACTTTGCAATACTCCTGGATTAATTCTAAAATGCTAACTCTTCAACCTTTCCTCCCTGGCAAAGTTGCAACCTAACAATTTTAAGACTTGCCAATGTTTACAGGGAAACTTTACACTAACAAAAGATAATATCTTAGTAATTACATTCAAAACAGTCTGTTGATATTCAGCATAAAATGGACTCATAAGTGCTCTAAATTTTGAAAGTTGAAAGGTCTTTAAATACACAAATTTAATATTTCTAGTTACTACCTCCATTCCTGGAAGGGCTGCTTGTGCCTCTCTGAAAACGACAAACTCAGTTCAAAGGCATGAACATGACCAGCAATCAGATTTATACCAAAAATTCTGCTTGAAGGTTATACAATTCAAAGGTGTACAGGTTGTTCTCAGTAAAATCACATTTTTGGACCACACACTGATCACTCTTAATTTAGAAAGCTATCAGACTGCAAAATTTATGGGAAAATATTTCAGCATCAGAGTATGAAAGCAAAAATTATGAAATTGGCAGGAAAAGTAGGTATTCTAAAATGTAAACTCCTTAGTACATTAGGTACCAAAACTATACAGCTCTACTTTCCCAAATACAAAGTTGTATTAAAATTTTATAAATTATTACATTTTATCTTTTAACAGGTTTCTTAGAATCAACGTACAAAACATATCTATTAGCAGATGCTATAGAAATAAATACATGACCAAAGAATTCATCACTATTATGATTAAAACATTAAGCATATAAGCTTTCTTAGAATTGTTCATATCATCCAATAAGGTTAATTGCTTAGCACATGAGTCTGATTTTCTTCCTAACAATCAACAGTTATCAAGCCATAAGGCTCAAAATTTTTCCTACATGACAAAAGTAAACTAGTTTCATTTTCCTGTCAATAACATGACACAATGGCAATCACCGTGTAAAAAAAAATTCCAATTAAGTGCCAAAATTTCAGGGGTAAAAATGAAAATAAGATTCAGAGAATCATGCCTTATAACTGAAAATAGAAAACACTCATAATTTAAGCACATTAGACAATAAATCAAGAGATCTGAATCTAGTTCTTATTAGCTATGAAAAATCCCAGGCAAAATTATTTAGTTTTTCTCAGTCTTAGTTTCTCTTTTATAAAACAGAATAATAATTTTTATTTTATATACTCACTGGGAATGGAAATTACATCTTAGAACTTCCTGAATGAAATACTCTGACAAAGAAATTTGTAAATCATATCTCTGAGTAGATTTGATAAAAAGAAAAGCTGTCTTTTGCAAGGACTCTCACCTGAAAGCAGACAGTTTAATCAGGTAATTACTTATAGTCCACAGTTTTCCTAGATATTATTAAAAGGATATTATTATATTACATTATATATTATTTCATAATATGTTATAAAAAAGATAACTGCTACATTTTGGATGTAGATTCAGTGCTCTTCAGTTCTTCAATTCTTCAGAGAAGATGATCTTTTTCTTTCTCTGTCTCTCTCGCGGTGTGGGATATTGAATCCAGAGCATTATGTGTGCTAAAACTTGCACTCTACCACTAAGCAAGATCCCCAGCCTCTTAGTGTTCTTTTTTAAAAAAAAAAAAAATTTTTTTTTAGTTGTAGACAGACACAATACCTTTATTTTATTTTTTATGTGTTGCTGAGGATCAAACCCAGTGCCTTCCACTTGGGAGGCCAGTGTTCTGCCACTGAGCTACAACCTCAGAACCTCAGCCCCCCCATGTCCTTTTTAAAAACAAGGTATCAAATTACTACCTTAAGATTTACCTCTCCAGGGTCTGGGATTGTGAGTCAGTGGCAGAGTGCTTGCCTTGTACATGTGAGGCACTGGGTTCAATCATCAGCACCATATAAAAATATACAAAATAAAGATATTGTGTCCATGTATAACTAAAAGATATTTTATTGTATTTATTTATTTTTAATATTTTTTAAGTTGTAGATGGACCGCATGCCTTTATTTTGCTTATTTACTTTTATGTGGTGCTGAGGATCGGACCCAGTGCCTCACACTTGTGAGGCAAGTGCTCTACTGCTGAACCAAAGTCCCTAAAGAATATTTTTTTAAAAAAGATTTACCTCTCCAAAAGAGAGATATTCAACTTTCTTTTTCCTAGGGAATTACTGAGTAACCAAGTAAAAGTTAAAATAAAGAAAAATACACATTTAGCTTCAATCTGTAGCATAATATCACTACCAAATCTCTTTAAATTGTGCATTCTGAATCAATAATACATTTTAAATATGGCAAATTATGATATAAACTCATACAAATAATAAAATTATTACTCTGCCCATTAACAAATTTAAAAGCTTAGAATCTAAATTTTTATTTTAAAGTAAATACAAGTACACTTCACAAATATTAAAAGTAAAGGGTGGGAGGTGGGGTTGTGGCTCAGTGGTAGAGTGTTCACCCAATATGCATGAGGCACTGGGTTCAATCCTCAGCACCACATAAATATAAAATAAAGATATTGTGTCCACCTAAAACTAAAAAAGTAAATATTTTTTTAAAAAGTAAAGGGTAAAAAAAGTAACCAAGTAAAAGTTAAATGCAGAAATGAGTCAGTCCAAAGAACTGAGCTATGGAGCTTTAGAAAACTCTATGTCCACCAGGGAAGAAGGGTGTTAAAAGTCTGAGGGATATTAAAGCTACAAAACAAAAAGGGAAAAGAAAATCTGGATTTATTTATTTATTTATTTTTATTGTTGGTTGTTCAAAACATTACATAGTTCTTGACATATCATATTTCACACATTTGATTCAAGTGGGTTATGAACTCCCATTTTTACCCCGTATACAGATTGCAGAATCACTTCGGTTACATATCCACTGTTTTACATATTGCCATACTAGTGTCTGTTGTATTCTGCTGCCTTTCCTATCCTCTACTATCCCCCTTCCCCTCCCCTCCAGTCCCCTCGCATCTTCTCTCTCTACCCCATCTACTCTAATTCATTTCTCCCCCTTGATTTTTTTCCCTTTCCCCTCACTTCCTCTTGTATGTAATTTTGTATAACAATGAGGGTCTAGAAAATCTGGATTTAAAAAAAAACATGGTAAATAAAATAAATTATATGCCAAGGCATATGATTTTTTAATAAAACATGTTTTATTACATGTTTCTGGAAGTGAAAACAAAAACATTTCTAAAATGTGGCAATTTTCCTTCATCCCCACTAACACTTTCCACTTTTAACAAATAGTTTCAGTTTATACTCTTACCACAGACAAATTAAACATTAAAATATTCAAGTCAATAAAATTGAGAATTCAAATTTTTGAAGTCGTCAAATATAAAGAAGTAAAACTTTTACTAGATTTTAAAACAATAAACTAAGATCTTCATTTTGACTTTAAAAGGAGGCCAAGACTGTCTGAAAAAAACTGTACTGAATAACAGTAAAAGTCATAAAATCTCTAGAGATAAAGGCATAGGAAATGAGAACTGGTTTACTCTCAATTTTAAACAATGTGAAAGACATGTTTAGTTAACTGTGTAGAATCAGAGTTAATAACATCTTACTCATTTACTTCCATATAATTGAGTATCTCTAGTAATGAAGGTTAGCTGGAAGCCCCTTAATTTCTAGCTGAATGGTAGGCTGTAAAGAAACATTTCATTCCTTTTGACTCTCTTGGAAAGAAAAAAAGAAAAACTACATCATAAAGGTGGGGAAAAGGGTCATAATATTTTATAACAGGATGCAGGAGACTGTGCAAACAGAAGAAAATCTAAGCAAACCCCAGCAGGATTGGTTTGCCTCTTTCAGTTGTAGGGAACACAACCCTATCAATCTCTTTTTCATATTGGATCACAATAGTAAAGGTAAATTTTTATGGCTTAAGATTCCTAACACTGCACACGAATCTTCCCATAACATCATTTAATTCTTTCAAGCTGAGGCGGAAGCTTTAATTTCTTTTCTTTTCTCTTTTATTTTTAAATATTTTTTTAGATGTCAATGGACTTTTATTTTTTAATTTATTGATATGTGGTGCTGAGAATCGAACCCAGTGCCTCACACATGCTAGGCAAGTGCTTTATCCAATACATGAGAAAATTTGCACACTATAAATAACGCATACTTGAATAAAATCCACATATCATTATGACATGTGCTACAAAATGGCCACCACAGCCCCTTTAATTTCTTTTCTGAAGTTCTGAGTTCTTTCTTTTTCTGGTTACCAGAATCTGTGTGCATATACCTTGCTTGATAATTCTTATGATAGAAGGTCTTTAGTGAAACACAGAAAACAATCTTTTCTGCACTTAATATAAAATATTACCTTTTTCTTTGCATTTTCTTAACACAAAAGAAGCAAAAAATGAATTCTGACAAAATGGCCTTTCAGGTTTTCAGAATTCACTCTGCAATTTTGATTACCTCAGGCAGGCACAAAAGCTATTTACAATCTCATTCATGTTGGAAAACTGATTTCATAAAGAGTACTTTTTCTATTTGAGCTATTGTATTTATTCACTTTTAAATATTTTAACAAAAGGGCTATTATGTCTGGAATTCAAACGTTTTTTCTTTTAAATTTTTTCTGTAAGGTCTCTTCCCCCAGTTATCAGAGAAGCATTTTGATAATTCAGAGTAACCTATACAAATGAAAGTGCTTACTGCAGAAGAAATTTTCTCATTAAAAAAATTAATAAAAATTCATGTTATTACTATGCGACTTTAAAAAAATCAGACCTTCAGGGGCTAGGGGTAGAGGTGAGTGGTAGGGTGCATGCTCAGCATGCCCAAGGCTCTGGGTTCCACCCCCAGCTCCTAAATAAATAAATAGACCTTCAGAATTCTTTTTAGTGATTTTCTTATCATCAAACACACACTAGGAAAAAATCACAGTATCATTTATGCTTTATCCAATACATGAGAAATTTTACACACTATAAATAATACATACTTGAATAAAATCCACATATCATTATGATGTGTGCTACAAAATGGCCACCTGAAAAGAAGGGATGGCTTTAAGAACAGCTCCTACCCAGACCATTTAGGCTGTGTGAATATACCAAAAGTAGCTCACCATTCTTATTCCTCTAATTTAAAACAATTATACTATCTTTCTGATGTGTGGAATTTTTTGTTGAGGTGTGAAAAGATATTCTAATGATTCCTGGAACACACAAAAAATGACCAATTGGGGCTGGGATTGTGGTTCAGTGGTAGAGCGCTTGCCTAGCCCATGTGAGGCTCTGGGTTTGATGCTCAGCACCACATAAAAATAAAATAAAGATATTGTGTCCAACTACAACTAAAAACTAATAAATATTTAAAAAAAACAATTTACAAAACAGAATTCTAACACTGGGAAATGAACTCAATGACAGTTTTAGGTTTTTCATTTGTTAGAATTTCTTGGACTTGTAATTCAAACTTAAAATACTAAGCCAAGGGCTGGGGATGTGGCTCAAGCGGTAGCGCGCTTGCCTGGCATGCGTGTGGCCCGGGTTCGATCCTCAGCACCACATACAAACAAAGATGTTGTTTCTGCTGAAAACTAAAAAATATTAAAAAATTCTCTCTCTCTCTCTCTCTCTCTCTCTCTCTCTCAAAAAAAAAAATACTAAGCCAATATTAAAGCTGGATGAAACTACTAAAGACAACACATGCAAAAACATGTAGAGAATGTCTTCTATTGCAGATGTTTTAATTCATTCTCTTTAATACTGAATTTATCATCTTTCTACCATATAGAATTCAAGAGATACTTTCATGACTGTTTTATTCATTTGGAGGAAACATTTATGATTAATCTGTATAAAAAAATCTAAATCTAATCTGTTGCTTCAATTTGTAAATTATTCTAAATGATAAGGATAAGAAGGTAGAACACAGCAGAAATTAAGGCCAAAATCTCACACCAAAGGGGTTTCTTTGTGTGTTTTAAAAAGTTAAATGGCAACGTATTTTCAAATGTTAACTTAGCCTGGTACTATGCTTATTATTATAGGGAAGGATCTGATATTATACTTCAGGAGATATAAAAAGGGCCAACAAACAATACCCAAATTAGTAGTGGAACCAAAGAATAAATTATTACTCAGATGAAGAAAAAGTGGTAAAAGCAGTTAGAAATAGAAAGAAAGTGAGTAACCTAAAAAAACAATCAAGGTGAAACTGGAATACACTGAGAACAGTTAACAGTAACCCAGACTAACACTGGGGAGTTAATATGTACCTGAGAATATACTAGGAATTGCATATATGCATGCTCATTTAATCCAACACAAAAAAGTGAGGTAACTATCAGCATCATCTCTTTTTTTCACCTAAGAAGTGTGGCTCAGAAGTGGCTTGCCCAAAGCCCATAGCCAGGAAGTGATAGAACGTGTTGCAACCAAGACCTGACTACAAAGCTTGTATACTCTGTGAGCCAAATAAAGTACAAATTACCTTTCAGGGTTAAATAAATTAAGCTGAAATGTCTTATGATTTCTGAGATACCTCTTGTAAAAGGAAATTATTTTGGAATCTTTTTCTCTTCTCCCAATCACAAAGGTGGCTGGGGGAGGGCAGGGAAGATTAGAATTAGGCCTTTAAAAATGAAGAGTAAACGGCTGAAAAACACATCATGACAAAAAAGAGCTAATATTAGTACAAGGAGATTATTTTAGGGAAGAATTTAGAAGAAGAGAGAACAAATTAAAAGTAAATTAAATTTCAAAAGGTAATAGCTGCATAATTAAAAAATGAAAACCATATGAAAAATTGTGCTGTACATGTGTAATAAGAATTGTAATGCACTCTGCTGTCATATATAACAAATTAGAATAAAAAATGAAAAACAATGCTAAAAGATGTTCAGAAAATAGCCTCATTCTCACCCTTGCTAGAAGTCTTCGAATTAAGCCTCAATGCAAGACTATTCTAATGAATATAAAGGAAACAGGTAATAATTTCTTACAGTGAGTCCAATTTTAGAAACTCAAACTATTTGAAAGATAAAACAATATCTAACCAAAAATTTGATACTTTACATATAGAACAAATCATACCACATGGCACTTTAAAAAATGGTGATACAATTAAAAATAATGTTGTTTTGAAAACATTGGACATCAATGACCTAAATGAATACAATTATAGCTACCTGTGCTGGAAAAACTGCAAAAGTTAAAAAACTGAACACAAATAATAGCCAACATTAATGAACAACAGATGAAATAACTGGTCAGAGGCTGGTAGTCATGGAGACAGCTTTTAGTCACCTCCAACACAGGTTCCAAGTTCGGAGGCTTCCTGGTATTTTATTTAATTACCAATGAGTCAAAGAATTTGTCATAACACTGAATAAGCCATAAAACGATGGGTTAAAATTGGAAAATTCAAAGCAAAATTTCACTTACCTTCCCTGTTAGAACTGAAGGAAATTCAGTATCAAACTTGTTGCTCAAGCCAAACCTTAAAAACAAAGAACAAAATATATTCTATCCAGCATATTTAACCTTTTTCCTTTCTTTAAAAAAAGTTACAAGCCTGTTTATTTTTCTTTTGGTTTTCTGATTTTAAAATGTTTCTTGAATATATACATTTTTATGTTTTTGTACCAGTTTAAAAGAAACTTAATTTAAAAAATAGATACAGAGTCTTAAAAAACATTAAATTAAAAAACAAAATTGTCCTGGATTTTTTTTCTGGTACTGGGGGATCAAAGCCAGAGCCTCATGCATACTAAGACAAGTGCTCTATCACTGCACTACACTCCCAGCCCAGTGGAGGAAAAATATGATAGTTATAGAAAGTAAATCTCTGACTTTTAATCCAAATTAATAGTAAAAGAACTTTTATAAGAGTAAATGTTGGGCTGGGGCTGGGGTTCAGCAGTAGCACACTTGCCTGGCATGTGTGAGGCACTGAGTTTGATTCTCTGCATCACATATAAATAAGTAAATAAAACAAAGGTCTATCAACAACTAAAAAATATTTTAAAAAAGAGCAAATGTTATAATAAAAATATCCCTCTTTACCATTAATGTAGCCTTTGGAACTATATGATTTAATAACTTGTGAACAGTTACTTTCAATATACTCAAGGATTGATCCTTATGAGTGGCTTTCATGTGTTCAATGAATTTTAAGAAAACAGATTTCACCCTCTAAGGCTTTCTCTTCCATTATGCTCACTAAAATATGTAATAAGAAGTCAAAACTTCACACACACACACACACAGAGTCAATAAATGGGCAAAAGAACTAAACAGACATTTCTCCAAAGAAGAAATACAACAGACAATATATGAAAATATGTCCAACATCCCTAGCAACCAGGGAAATGCAAATCAAAACAACACTGAAATTTTATCTCACTCCAGTTATAATGGCAATCATCAAGAATAAAAATAATAATAAATACTAGCAAAGATGTGGGGGAAGAGGCACATTCATACTTTGTTGGTAGGACTGAAAATTATCACAACCATTTTGGAAAACACTATGAAAATTCTTCAAAAGACTAGGAATGGAACCACCATATGACCCAGAAATCCCACTCCTTGGCATTTATTCAAAGGAACTGAACTAAGCATACTATAGTAAAACAGGAACACCACTGTTTATAGCAGTGAAATTCACAATAGCCATGTTATAGAACCAGCCCATCAACAGATGAATGGATAAAGAAAATGTGGGATATAAACCAACGGAGTTTTATTTGGTTGTAAAGAACAACAAACTTACGGCATTTACCAGTAAATGGATGGAACTGGAAAGTATCATGCTAAATGAAATAAGCTCAGAAAGTCAAAGATCAAATGTCTTCTCTCCTTTGCAGAAGCTAGAGAGAAATAAGGAAATAAAAGGGGAAGGATCCCATGATAAAAGAAGAAGGATCAGTGGAGTAGAAGGAGACTGAGAGGGAAGGAGGACGGGAAAATGAGGAACTGCGGAATGAAACTGACCAAATTATGCTATATACATATACAAATATACCACACTGAATTCACTTTTATGCAAATCTATAAAGCATCAATTAAAAAGACAAGAAATAGAAGGAAGACCACTATAGTACAGGAAGGAGAACAGGGGAAGTGAGGAAAGGAGGGAAAGTGGAAATACGGGGGATTATAATGGAGCAAATTATATTCCTTATATATATGAATGTGAAAATGAATCCTATTATTATGTATAACTATAATACACTAATAAAAATATTTTTAAAGAAGTCAAAATGAATTTTATTAGCTTTGCTCACCTATTTGTTGATTTCAGTAGGGACAACATAGTTACTTCCTCAATGTCACACCATATCATAGTGACTACAATTTTAAACAAAAACATTGAGAACTCCACGAGGAAGGCAGTAAGAGTAAAAGTTACCAATAACTATGTACTTACCAGGCTACCTACTGTGCTAAGTATATTACTACAAAACTTTAAAAACCCTCAAGAGAAGTATTATTATCCCCATTTTGGGGGCAAGGAAGCTGACAATAAGAAAAAATAAATAAATACATTAATTACATGACTTGCTCAAAGTCATGTATATACTAAATAAGTGGGGGAAAACAAAATTCATATGCTGATCCCTATGCCTTTTCTGTTCTGTATTAAGCTCCTTGAGAACAGAAACCATGGGTTATTTTGCTCCTTCCATTATAGATAATACTATAATGCAATCCAGTAGTTTTTTTCAGTACCAGGGATTGAACCCAGGGCACTTTACCACTAAGCTACATGGGGTCCCTCCCCCAGCCTCCACACACTTTTTTTTTTTTTTGAGACAGAGTCTCATTAAGTTGCTGAGGGCCTCCCTAAATTGCTGAGGCTGGCCTTGAATTTGTAATCCTCCTTTCTCAGTCTCCTGAGCCACTAGGATTACAGGAGTAGGTTTTTAATAAAAGTTTGCAGAAAAGTTCACTGAATAAGTTACTGTACTGTTTGATGTTTGATTCAACTGCTAGTTTGGTCTTAGGGACTTTAAAGAAATGTTAGGAATCCCACATCTAATTAAAACTCTATGCAAGAATTTCATATTCTCCTTATATCATTTATGTGAATAGTTCATTTTCAAGGACATGAGCCAATCTTAAGCACAAACACTCTCTATATGTAGCAGCCACTAGCATGATATATGTCTAGGCAAAAAATACTACATCTTATATGTTAAGAAATGTATTTTTATCAAAGTTCTATATTTAAAATAGTTAAGAAAATTAATTACCAATTGTAAAGACTTTAACTACATCAAAAAAGTCAGTCATTAACTCTGTTCAGGTGTGTATACAACATGTAATGAGAATACATATTCCCTCTAAATCTACAGACATAATAGTACATCTAAACTTAAAACCAGATGGGATATCCCATGCATAAATTTTATAACAATTTTCATCTGCTGCTTGAGTAATTGACATTCTAGTATTAAAAATATATTTGTATTTACATGCTAATTTAGTATTCAGTAATGAGACAACTATTTTAACAGAAAGAAACACATTTCACTTAAATCATTATTTAAGATGGGTACAGTGGTACATGCCAGTGATCTCAGCAACTTTGGAGGCTGAGGCAAGTTCAAACCCAGCCTCAGCCACTTAGCGAGACCCTAAGCAACTCAGGGATACCCTGTCTCTAATAAAATATCAAAAAGGGCTGGGGATGTGGCTTGATGATTAAGCAAATGTGCTGGGTTCAACCCCTGGTACCATAAATAAATTAATAAATAATTGTTTAGTGGCTTTATCACTACTCAAAAAAGACACGATTCATTATTCCACAGAGTAAATTCTTCTTGTGCAACAAAAAATTGATAGATTTTCACTTTTAAGAAAGACATATATTTTTTTTAAATGTTTTTTTTTTAAGAGAGAGAGAGAGAATTTTTTAATATTTATTTTTTAGTTTTCAGCGGACAGAACATCTTTGTTTGTATGTGGTGCTGAGGATCGAACCCGGGCCGCACGCATGCCAGGCGAGCGCGCTACCGCTTGAGCCACATCCCCAGCCCGAAAGACATATATTTTAAAGTAGAGCTTTATTTTCACATCATATCTAAATGCCTTTTAGATGCAACGTCAATAGCATACTTTTACCTCAACTGGAGTTTCCTACCATTTGAGCTTTTTGCCAGCTCTGCCATTCCTTTACTAGATATCAAATAAGTAGTAGATATAGACAGATGTATTTATCACAATGTTTAGAATATTTTTATTATTTAAAAAATTCTTAGCCGGGGCTGGGGATGTGGCTCAAGCGGTAGCGCGCTCGCCTGGCATGCGTGCAGCCCGGGTTCGATCCTCAGCACCACATACAAACAAAGATGTTGTGTCCGCCGATAACTAAAAAATAAATATTAAAATTCTCTCTCTCTCTCTCTCTCTCTCTCTCTTAAAAAAAAAAATTCTTAGCCAGGCTTGGTGGTGCACACCTGTAATCTCAGTGACTCAGAAGGCTGAAGCAGGAGGTTCATGAGTCCAAAGCCAGCCTCAGCAATGGCAAGGTGCTGAGCAACTCAGTGTGATCCTGTCTCTAAATAAAATACAAAATAGGGCTGGGGATGTGGCTCAGTGGTCAAGTGCCCCTGGGTTCAACCCCCAGTACCAAAACAAAAGAAAAATTCTTTTTTTTTTAATGTTTATTTTTCAAGTATCGGCGGACACAACATCTTTATTTGTATGTGGTGCTGAGGATCGAACCTGGGCCGCACGCATGCCAGGCGAGCGCCCTACCGCTTGAGCCACATCCCCAGCCCCGAAAAATTCTTAAGCTTTGCTTATTTCAGGTGTACTTATCACCAGATAAAGGAACCCTCTATTGTTTTCATTTCCCTTTATTAACCTTTGAAATCTGATTTTTTTCTTTTCTTTTTGGTACCAGGGATTGAACCCAGAAGCACTTAACCACTGAGCCACATCCCCTGCCCGTTTTTATATTTTATTTTGGGTCTCACTGATTTGCTTAGGGGCTTGCTTAGCTACTGAGGCTGGCTTTGAACTTGCAATCCTCCTGCCTTAGCCTCCAGAGCAGCTAGGATTATAGGCATGTGCCAGGCTAAAATCTGATATTTTTTAATAGATGGAATATTTATTAAGCTTATTTTATATTACTCTTTTCATTCTACACCAACTCTTAGCTTTAACTCATTTGCTTCACAAAGGCAAGTCTGCAGTTCATTAGCATCTGATAGCTTGGACAATCTCACCTATGCTAATGCCATCCGATCTATTTTCTCTAGTAACAGGTATTTTTCCAACATGCTCTAGTCCTTCATCTTCAATTGTAAAATGAAATTTTCCATTTGGATATCTTGCCACAAAATAATACATTGTCAGGCTGGAGATGTGACTCAGTGGTTAAGTACCCCTGGGTTCAATCCCTGGTAACAAAAGAATATATGACGTCAAATAAAACATATCTAAAATTAGATGTAACCCTTTCTTGGAAACTGTTTCCTCTTTGTACTTTACTCTCTTCCCTTAACCTAGACCTTGGTATCATTTTTTTGCCCCCTCCCTCTCCTATTTTTGCACCTTTATTAAAGTAAATATTCCCCAAATCCAGTCACTTGCTCCTTTAAATTCTCATAATGATTCTTTCCTTCCCATTGCCACTGCCTTGTCTTTGCCCATATGATTTTCTTGCTTCCTGTCCTTAGTTCAAATTGTACACAGCCTTTAGTTCCAACCTCACTATAATGCCTTGAATGCTCAAGTTAATATGGATTCCTTTTCTCTGAACACTCATAATCACTTCTGATCTGTATTACACAATTCAGCAATTAAAAAATTATCTTTAATTCTTTGCTGCCCCATATAAATATCAAAAAGGAAATATTCTGGTTAGGTTTGTAAAGCCAGACCTGTATTTTGTTTTTTTCTATATTCTAAATGGAAAAGAAAGTATTATTTTACTTCCTAAAGCACTCCCTGGTGACCTATGTACAGTTGCCCCTGTCAGTATTCTATGAGGAATTGATTCCAGGCCCATCTTGGGTATCAAACTCCTTAGATGCTCAAATCCTTTATATTAAAACAACACAGTATTTGCATATAACATATGCATACCCTTCTGTATACTTCAAATAATCTCTATTATTACTTACAATAACTAATACAATATAAATTCCATGTAAATGTTACATTGTATTGTTTAGAGAATAATGACAAGAAAAATGCCTGTACATGTTCAATATGATGTGATTTTTTTTTCAGATATTTTTGATGTGCAGTTGGTTCAATCTGTGGATGTGGACTAACTATATATCCACATCAAAAAAGTAAGAAGAAAAGCAAACTATGCTATTTCTCTCTTATAATTTTGGCTAAAAGTAGCAATCCTGTTTTTGCCTACCAGGGATTATTTTTCTCTAACTTTTCTCTTTAGAAACTGAGCACATAAAGAGAATATTTAACTCAAAGAACCTTAGGCCCAAGAGTTTCACTTACTAGCCACTAGCAAAATGCTGAAATGATTGCTGATGAATAAAATACCTCACCTGTTTCATAAACAACCCATTAAGAACTGTGAGTCCACAGAGGTTAGACAATCTCATCCACTTATTATTCATCATTGATAGATATTAGCCCAAGATGTGAGGCTCTTTAGTATCAGACAAACAGGCACTTGGGAACTGCTCAGGCTGCCATTTTATCGACTTCATTAAATATAGAATCTGTTATGTGTTTGAAGCCAACCCAGCTGGTGATTCTCAATTATTGCATTTTCTTTTTTTTAATATTTAATTTTTAGTTATAGATGGACACAATATCTTTATTTTATTTTTTATGTAGTGCTGAGGATAGAACCTAGTGCCTCAGGCATGATAGGTGAGTGCTCTACCTCTGAGCCACAACACCAGCCCTGTCAAGTGTTTTCAATGCCCCAATTTTTAATTTCTTGGAACAATTATTTGTAGTAAAGGAGATTGAGGCAAAGAAGAATGTGTCCTTTTAGTTGCTCTTCCCTCTTCTTCTCTCCCTTTTCATCTTTTTGAAAACAGCTATATATCAGCCTTTCAAACCTTGCACAAATTAAAGTTCCTGTGCCCAGGTTGCTTAAGCATAATAAAATTCTGCCAACAAGAAACATGATTTCACTAGAAAACTTAGAACTGAGTCTGAAGCACATGCTCTGAATTCTATTTACTTTATCAAGGAAAGACTATGCCATATAATATAAATTTTTAAAAGATTCTATTTAGATCTCACTTATCTTTCATATGGAAATAATCACGTCTTTTTACACTGTAACAATGGCAAGTCACCAGAGATAGCTTCAGCATTCTCAAAGCCTAAAACCTTATGAAATATTCACTACACATAAATGCAAATTAACAATGCATCACTGTAATGCCTAAAAAACAGCTGACAGAAGAGGCATTCCATTTACTGATTTGGGAAGTATCAAAAATTTGCAGTGCTAAGTTTTTATAGAAATGTGCTGTTTGGCAAATTTGGCCATCTTTTTCTTTTCCTTTTTTCTTTGGTACTGAGGATTGAACCCAGAGGTGCTCAACCACTGAGACACATTCCCAGCCCTATTTTGTATTTTATTTAGGGGTCAAAGTCTCATTGAGTTGCTGAGGCTGACTTTGAACTTGCGTTCCACCAGCCTCCCAAGCCTCCAGCCTCAGCCTCAGCCTCCCAAGCTGCCAGAGCTGCTGGGATTACAGTCGTGTACCACTGTACCCAGCCATCTTTTCCAATTCTATATCTAATAACTTCAGCTTTTTTAGATTAGTTTTTTAATATTTATTTTTTAGTTTTAGGTGGACACAATATCTTTATTTTATATTTATGTGGTGCTGAGGATCAAACCTAGTGTCTCATGCATGCTAGGTGAGCACTCCACCACTGAGCCACAATCCCAGCCCTTAGATTAGTTTTAATGAAACGATTTTATGAATCCCTGGGATTTGGTTAATCTAGAACCCCTACTAATTTCTATACAAGTGTGCTATCAAGGGTAAACATCCACGTTTTAAGAAATATAAAGAATGTGTAATGTCTATAAATAAGGAAAAAAATCTCATGAGATGTATTTTTTTCTGTATTTCAATACATTGGATCCAAATAGTTCTCCTAAAAATATCAAGAAGAAAACCGATAGAGGCCTGGGAATATAGCTCGGTTGTACAGTGTTTGCCTAGGATGTGCAAAGCCCTGGGTTCAATCCCCAGCATCTGCAAAAAAAAAAAAAAAAAAAGAAAGAAAACTGATAGGTATACTTACATGCAATATCACTCACACTGGGCTGGGATTGTGGCTTAGTAGTAGAATGTTTGCCTAGCATGTGTCAGGGTTTGATTCTCAGCACCACATAAAAATAAATAAATTGATGTCCTTTTGGACCACAGGGCTCTTCCCAGATCAGAGAAGCCCAGGTGTAGGCTCTGCCAGAGCCAGAGGGACAACCCATCCTGGGAACTGCTCTGGGGCTAGGAGAGCAGCAGAGCCCACCAGGCCTTAGCAATAACTGGACCTGAGGAAGCTGCTGTCTTCTTTCCTGCCCCATGAGCAGCTCCATCCCTGGCAGGCTGCCCTGCCAATCCACTCCATTTTGTTCATGTTTCCTTTCCACTCTTCCTGCCAAGAGCAGGCCCCTGGCTCTGTCCTGGGGAACATGTATTTAAGAGAGACCTACACTGGTATTAAAGCTGGTTAGTTTTATAAAAATACATAAATAAAATAATAAATAAATTAACTAATTAAAAGATATTGTGTCCAACTACAACTAAAAAATAACTTAAAAAAGCAATAAAAGGTAGCAGAATTAAGAATGAATACTAACACAATACTTAAATTTTCAAGTATTTACAATTCAAGCAAATAAATATGAGGAAGTACTCTTCAAAACACAGAAAGCTATCAATTTTTCTGCTTTGCAACTAAAATGTTGTGAAGTCCCTTCTCATTTTATTTTATGAAATATGATACAAGATTTCAATTTTTAAAAAGCCATACTGGCAAATTTTTAAGAAACCATCCTCACCTTCTGAAGGATTAATTTCCACATACATTTAATATTAATATATTTAGTATTAAGGCAAAAAAAAATCCCCTGGAGGTATTTTAAACTATCACGTAGCTGAAAGGTTTTAGAAACAACCTACTCCAAATCCTCATTTTGCATATGAAGAAACCAAGGCCCACACAAGGGAAGCAAATGACCAAGGTCACAGGGCCAGGAAGAAGCACTCGCACTTGCAAGATACCCCAGACTCAATCCCCTGCTCTTTCTATTTCCATAGCTGCCTATATTTAAGGAACGTCAGACTGAATAGTGCTCTAAACAGGGAAAGAATGACTGTATTCATTCATATAAGGATTAGACAGGAAGAATGGATGGATGAATATGCAGGTGGATGGATGTTTACATTATTCAGAAAACATCACGTTTCTGTTTTTTAGAATCCAAACCTAGTTCTCTTCACATGTCACAGCAGTCACCGTTTTTCCACTAGACACCGATCCTGGCAGCAAAGAACCCTCTAGTACATCCTGCAGTTTAGAAAATATTCACTTGCCACCATACCTACACGAAAGGAAACTCACCCCTACTCCAATACCTCTCTCTGGCTTTCAAACCCCTAAGTTCCCAGTCATACGCTTACTCTTCACACGCTCACATTCTCCTTACTTACTTTACTTCTATACACCCTCGTTTCTCCGTTTTGACCAGGTACGCCTCAGTCAGCCCTCCCCCCACTCCACAGGCCCCTCGTTCGTCTTCTCATTTCTCTGTCGCCAAATCACAGCCTTTTCAAACCTCATGGCCCCTTCTTGCTTACACAGTGATGTGGCCTGCGCCGCGCACCAGTACAGGGTCCGGGGCATATCTCCGCAGATGCTCCTCGCTCACTACCCGAGGCGGGGGCGGCACCTCCTCCTCATCATCATCTTCCTCCTCTTCCTCTTCTTCTTCCTCCTCCTCCTCCTCTTCCTCTTCTTCGTCATCATCGGGCCCAGAAACAGACGACAAAGACGACGGCGGCGACGACGACGTAGCGGCTTCTTCTTCTTCCTCTTCCTCCAGTTCCGAGATGGTGTCGAACTCCGCCATGTTGGGCAGCAGGATGCTCATCACGTGACCTCGAGATCGCCGCCACTCTCACCAAGAAGAGTTTGAACCTGCGGAGGTGCTGGAAGAGGAGGGGGAAGAACTGAAGAGAAAGAGGCGGGGGTGGGGATTGGACTTGAGGAGATGCGCCTGCGTGTTGGGCAGATCAAGTGTGGCAGGGATGTTGGAGGCGGAGGAATGAGGGAGAGAGGTGCAAAATCAGTGTACGCTTGCGCAGCTCCAAGGGGAGGGGGCCTTTAGAGGTGAACTGCGGGGAATTATCGAGGTCCGTTGGCAGGTGCTGCTCTCTTCTTGCTGCTCTTTGGGTGTCAGCTAGTTGTATCCCTGGGATGTACTTCTGATTTTTATATCCTATTAATTAATACTGGATCTTATTATTCTCAGTGGAGGCGATTGAAGGAAAGCACATTCTATAATAGTGAGCTTAGAACTTTGCCCAGAATATCTCAAGGTATACGTGTCTCAATATCTGATTTGTTCAGTATTACAGTGTAAGAGATCTGCATTAGAACTTTGCCACAACTTTAGAAGCAGGGTGAACATTTTTATTAACATGTTACTAAAGAGGAAACGTTACTAAAGAGGAAGACTTAATACTGGTCAGAGAGCTCTAACTGTATATCTTATTTAATCCTCCAAAACCCTGTATGATGATCTCATATTACACATGGGAAATGTAATTTTTTTCTTGTTATTTTTAGTTGTACATGGACACAATACCTTTGTTCTATTTATTTATGTGGTGCTGAGTTTGGAATCCAGTGCCTTAAACGGGATAGGCAAGTGCTCTAACCACTGAACCACAACCCCAGCCCAGGAAATTTAAATGGAGAGAGAATAAATGACTTGTAATGGAGCTACTAATGGCAGACCTGGTTTTTTATTTTATTTTTATAATTTTTGGTACCAGGGACTGAACCCAGGGGTGCTCAACCACTAAGCCACATTCCCAGCCCTTTTAATTTTTAAAATTTTTAGATAAGGTCTTGCTAAGTTGCTTATGTTAGGTGCAGAGCAGGCTGAACTGTGTTGTCTGCAGGGCAGGCTGAACAGATGTTGGCTGCAAGATAGCCCACACACTCAAATCCCCCTCTATCTGGTCCTTTATCACCTGTTTGTGTCAAGTCCCGCTCAAGGCTGAGCACTCAACCCCCCTTGGGCCAACAAGGCAGCTTGCAGACCCAGAGGCCCCATTAGATTTGGGCTATAAAAACTCCCTCCTGCCAGGCCCCCCTCTCTCTCCCTCTCTCTCTTGCTCTTTCTCTCTTGCTCTCTTTCTCTCTTGCTCTTTATCTTTCTTACGCGCGCTCTCTGTCTCTCTCTTGCTCTTGCTCTCTCCCTGTTCATCTCTTCTCTTTTCTCTCTCTCTCTTTCCTTTCTCTTTGTTGCACCGCTGCAATAAAGATCTTTTGGTTGCTCCGAGTGTTGTGGTCACTTTCCTTTCAGCTTAGGGCCTCACTAAATTGCTGAGGCTGGCTTTGAACTTGCAATCTTCCTCCCTCAGCCTCCCAAACTGCTGGGATTTCAGGCGTTGGCCACCATACCAGCTCAGACCTGGTTTTAAATTTGGGAGTCCTTTCTGATTCCAGAAGCCCAGTAGCTTAACCAAAAGACCATACTGCATGAAGTTGTTTAGAAAAGTTTTGTAAAGTGGTGCATTTTAGGCTGGTTCTTGAAATGTGACTGAGAAAGAATATGCAGATTTGGATTTGAGGAATTTGTTGGGGGTTGGGTGGATGGAGGGAGTGTAGGAAGCATTCTAACTTAAGGAAACATTAATTAACATTATCCATTTTCCAGACACTGAGCTACATTCTTTTACATACAGTGTCTTTGTTAACCCTTAATCATGTGAGGTAGGCATCATCATACCTATTTTACAGATTATAAAACTGAGTCTCAGTAAATTTTAAGTAATTTGTTCAGATCTATGGTGATCCTTTTTCATTTCAAATGTTCTACCCTGTCTTCTCCACACCATTAAAATGCTTTAGAGATCACATATTTTAAGTGTACAAATAATGTGCCAAACTGGTTTGTATTTGGCAGCAGAACAAAATCATTAAGGCAATGAAGTCACACAGCTACTAATTAGCAGAACAATTATTGTAATCCAGGTATTCCAAATCCAGCGGGTTTTTTTTTTTTTTTTTTTGCTCTTTTTACTCTTTTTTTTTTCTCTTTTTACCCTACAGCTGCATTTGGTTCTTCTCTTTCAAGAATCAAAAAGAGGGTCGGGGATTTAGCTCAGTGGTAGAGTGCTTGTCCAGCATATGCAAGGCTCTGAAAAAAAAAACGTAGAAGAGACTAAACCTTTTCCAAACATATTATCCATAAAGTAAACGTCACTAAGTCATTGTCTAGAGGGAAAAGTATTTTCCTGATGGCTCTTGCCATGGTAGTTTCTCTTCATGACTCAGAATCAGGGCAGGAAGGGAATATTTGAAGGAGAGAAAAGGAAAGGGGTAGGGATAGATTTTGTGACAAGTGCAAATAAGGTACTGAAACTATAATAAAAGTGAAGGGGCTGGGGTTGTGGCTTAGCAGTAGAGTGCTGGCCTAGTACATCCAAGGCCCTGGGTTTGATCCTCACCACCACATAAAAATAAATCAGTAAAATAAAGATATTGTGTCCAACTACAACTAAAAAAATTAAACATTTAAAAAAAAAGTGAAGAAATGGTAGCTATGGGGGATGGGAAGGAAAGAGGGGAGATAGGGAAATTCTGTCAAAGTGGAAAGAGGCCCCTGACTTTAAGTCAGATGTCAAAAGGACAAAGCAGTTCAGAAAGTGCTATGCTTGGCTAAATGCACAAGTATAGTCAAATCAGCTAGTTTTCATGCTTATACATTGTGCTGAAAAGGCATATGTGATTCCAAAGGTAATTTGTTTTGCTGAACCATAGGAGAATTTGAAATTGGACAAACTAAGAGCAACACATTTTTTTATTCATTGTCAGTAAACATAAGAGACACCACATTTTCAGAATGATACTTCATCATTAAGAATAGTAAATGGAAGAGTGGGTAGAGATGAAAACAGGCCATGTAACATTCTGTCTACCTGATGTGGTAAGGAGGACATGGGGACAATTATTCCATCTATTGGTTGGGGATCTGAGGCATAGGTCACAATTTTAATAATCTGGGAAGATTTTATCATTGAAACAGCTGAAAAGAATGGCAACATTTTGGGCCTGGGGTTGTAGCTCAGTGGTAGAGCGCTTGCCTAGCACATGTGACACTGGGTTCATCATATAAAAAAATAAGTAAATAAAATAAAGTGTTTTTTAAAAGAATGGTAACATTTTAAAGATAGATTAAAGATTATTTTATTTATTAAAACATGAAATTCAGCCGGATGCGGTGGCACACTCCTGTAATTCCAGCTGCTCTGGAGCCTGAGGGAGAGGATTGCCAGTTCAAATCCAGCCTCAGCAATGATGAGGCACTAAGCAACTCAGTGAGACCCTGTCTCTAAATACACTGAGCCACATCCCAGCCCTAATTTTTTTCTTCCCTATTTTATATTTTATTTAGAGACAGGGTCTCATTGATTTGCTTAGTGCCTCGCCTTTGCTGAGGCTGGCTTATGGATTGTGATTCTCCTGCCTGAGGTTTTGGAATTACAGGCATGTGTCACCACACTGGGAATTGAACCCAGTGCCTCACACATGCCAGGTAAGCACACTACCACTGAGCCACGATCCCAGCCCCTACCCCTACTATTTCTATGAGACAAATTGCTCAACTTCTGGGTCTGGGATTGTGGCTGTGCTGTAGAGTGCTCACCTAGCACTTGGGAGGCCCTGGGTTCGATTCTCAGCACCACATAAAAATAAATAAATAAAATAAAGATATTGTGTCCAGTTACAACCAAAAAATAAATATTAAAAAAATTTGGGGGGCTGGGGATGTGGCTCAAGCTGTAGCGTGCTCGCCTGGCATGCATGCGGCCTGGGTTCGATCCTCAGCACCACATACAAAGATGTTGTGTCTGCCGAAAACTAAAAAATAAATAAATATGAAAAAAAATTGGGGGCTGGGATTGTGGCTCAGCGGTAGAGCACTCGCCTAGCACCGGTGGGACCCGGGTTCGATCCTCAGCACCACATAAAAATAAAGGCATTGTGTTGTGTCCATCTACACCTAAAAATAAATATTTTAAAAAATTTTTGTTTTTCAACTTCCACATATAGGTGAGACCATGAGGTATTTCTGTTTCTGTATCTGGCTTATTTCTTTTAGAACAATGACCTCCAGTTCTATCCATGCTGCTGCAACTGACAGAATTTCATTCTTTTTATGGTGGAATAATATTTCATAGTGTTTACATACTATATTTTCTTTATCTATTCATCCATTGGTGGACACTAAAGTTTATTCTATATCTTGGCTATGATGTAATAAACATATAAGTGCAGATGTCTTTTTTTTAGTACCAGGGATTGAACCCAGAACTCACAGCGTATATACATACACATATCCCCAACTCTTTTAAATATTTTATTTAGAGAAGTTCTCCCTGAGTTGTTGCTTAGGGCCTTGCTAAATTGCTGAGGCTGGCTTTGAACTTGCAATCCTTCTGCTTTTGTCTCCAAAGCCTCTGGGATTACAGGCATGCACCACAGTGATGGGCAAGTGAAGATGTCTCTTTAAAATTATGATTTTAATTCTTTTGGATTATACTCAGTAATTGGATTTCTGGGTCATATGGTAGTTGTATTTCTAGTTTTTGGAGGAAGCTCTGTACTCTTTTACCAACTAACTCTACCAATTTACATTCTCATCAGCAGAGTACAAGTGGTCTTTTAATCTACATCCTAACCAATACTTGTTATTTTTTAAAAAGTAGTAGACATCCAAACAAGGGTGAGGTGATATATCATTCTGTTTTTTTGTTTTTAGTTATCGGCAGACACAACATCTTTGTTTGTATGTGGTGCTGAGGATCGGACCTGGGCCGCACGCATGCCAGGCGAGTGCGCTATCGCTTGAGCCACATCCCCAGCCCTCATCGTGGTGGTTTTGATTTGTATTTCCCTGATGATTAGTGATGTTG